GATGTTTTTAATGACAAATGAACTGGGCAAAAATTTATGAACCACAGCAAATCTAGTTCTAAAATGAGACTCCATTATGGAGTGGGTCACCTTGCAGAGCAGTCCCCTCAGCCTGGCGTATTTTTAATCACAAATGTGATTTTAATTTTTTTTTTTTTTTTTTTTTGATCCTAGATGAATTTACATTTTTAGGACTCAGTTTGAGCATTTGCTCTTTGGTGGAGCATATTTTTAGTGTCTCTTAGCTATGATGATTTCCTGGTAGCCAGATAAGGATTGGAGTTCTGTGGAAACATTTTCCCAAGCTGTTTCCTTTCACATTGGTTGGAAGCTGCCTCTTCCTCCAGGTGCTGCATTAGTAACTGGAATCCTGCTGTACACAGGCACCTATTTTCTGTGGTTTGTTCTGATATATATTTAGGCCTATCCTTTATATACCAAGGATTTCAAGCAAGCTTTTTTTTTTTTTTTTTTTTTTTTTTTTTTTTTTTTTGCTTAAAGAGAATTTTTAAGGTAAGCCAACTTGTTGAAACTGCTTGCTGGGAAATGTTAAAGATGATCTCTCTGCACTGGTTAAACCTCTGCTTTTCTTCTTGACTAGAGTTTTCATATTCTGATGCAATCTATAAAAACCCTAGTTAGGTATTATCAAGCAGTAGATACAGCCATTTTTAATGATGGGTTTTTTTGGATAATTTTAGTAAAACATTTCTTCATGAATGTGCAGGCTTTTGAGATTTGGCAGACAGTAAATCTCATTTGGAACAGTGGGTTTTTTTTCAAACACAGATGATCTTTCTGTCATTGAGTGAAATCCTGACTTCACATTCTAGTGAATCAGGACTTAATTTTTTAAATTGTAATTATTTGACTATGTCTTTGGTAAAGCCAAATTTCTATGTAAAGAGACTGTTAAATAAGAGTTTAAAAACACCTAGGACTCGTAGTTTTCACTTGTTTTCCTTTCACTCTTCTGTGGAAGAAAGACTTGTGTGCACCTAGATCCCTTATTCTACTTTTTTTTCCCCGAATTTTGCCAGCTCTCCCCACCTGTCAGCAGACTATAGTGCAAGAGTGCTCTACACATCCTCCCTTGCAGCATCAACATGTATTCTAAATTCTGTCAAGAATAATTTAAACATTTTTGAGGGAAACTGCATCCTTTGAAGCACTCCCTGGTGTCTTGTCTTCCTTTGATATTTTTAGTTGAAGAGGTCTGTAACGAGGCAGTTTGCAGTAGAGGTTGCTAAGTCATAATGCGCTCAGAAAGCTGCTTGGCTGTCTGCCTTCCATTGTCTGCTTTTATGGTTTTACTGTTCTGATTTTTGAAGGATTTTGGTTGTTCAGTGAGTAGCCAGCCTGCTGATAGGCTGTGACAATCTCACACGGTGCTCTCGCGGCCGAGTGATGATGTTCCAGCCTGGATGGACGCACAGCAGGGTGGACAAGTGACCGGCTGGGTGGGAGCCTGGTGCTTTGGGGGTCATTCCCTGCCTGGGGGTGGGACCAGAAGCCAGAGCTCTATCCCAGAGGAGGAGATGGAGGGCTCTGGCACCGGGCTTGGAGATGACTCTGGCTCCGTGGAAAAGCCCTGGGGGTCCCATGGGCAGCGAGCCGGGTGCCAGCCTGCAGCACATCTGGCAGCAGGGAGGGACACAGCACCCTGGGCCGCGTGAACGGGAACGTGGCCAGGAGTTCAAGGGAAGGGATGATCCTCCACCCAGCGTGTCTTCATGCCACGGCCAGTTTCAAGCTCTCCTAGCATAGGAGGAACATCAAAAACCAGCAGTGAGTTCAGTGAAGGGCTGCTTCACTGAAGGTTTGATATCTGTAGCAAAAGCAAAAAAAAAACCCACAAAGAATGTGTGCATACATTTTATGGTCTGGTTGGATGAGTCTGCAAAAAGCAAATGAACTGTAGAGGGAGGAAAAAGGGGCATTTTTTTCTGTGTCTTTCTCTCTTTAGACCAGATGCATTTATGGGTTCTACATCACATGAGATGTAAAGTTACATAATAAATTAATTGAAGGGAAGTAAACTGGTTATGTATGAAAGCACTAAAAAGCTATCCATTTGGACAACTTGACATCTTTCATGTAGAGTCTAAGGGATGTGCTAGCCATGTAAACAGCCAGTGTTGTCAGTTGCTGATTTTTTAAAATTTTAATTATTTTTTTAGTCGTTCTTCCAGCTTATTTGGGAAGTCTGTTGTGCATAGCTGGAAAATGTTTTAGATTAAAACATTAAATGGTCACTTTGTTGGTTACATAGATACTTCAGGTACTGCAGCAGAATTTTAATTTGTAGGAAGTGTCAGCCAGGCCTAGAAGTGATACCAGGAAATGGTGTCCTCTACACTTGAGCTGTATGGTTACAAGCTAATGTCATTTGTTCCTTTGGAGTTTAGATTCTCCTGGTGTCTGGTTCAAACACTGAAGATATGGGGCAGGAGAGTCAGGCTGTGTGTTGTACCCTGAGGTGAGCAGGGTGAGCTGTGGGGCTGTTCCTGGGTGTGGTGCAGAAGGCTGTGCCTCAGCACTCAAGTGTTCACTGTTTTAGGAAAAAAATTGCCAACTTTTAGTGTCTGTTCTCTTAAAAGTCATAGCTGGTGGGGAATTAGTCATCTTTTATTTGGGTTATTGTGGCAACTCCTGTATGTCTGCATCTAATTGTGCATTAGCATTTTCTCTGTAGTGTGTCTCCTTTTCTGTGCACAGTGTGATAGAGAAATAGGTGCCATTGCTAATTGAAAAGTACAGTTTTAGGGTGAAAGGAAAAATACAATAGTATTTTAAGTGTGCCAAGTCTCAGTTTGCATCCTGGGAGGAATTCATATGAGCAGTGTATGATGGCATATGGATGATACTCTTGTCTTTCTTGGAACTCCTCTGGTTCTGTCTCTCTTCAGTGTTTTATAAACTACACTTGGCTTAGGGAAAACATAATTCTGAGTAGCTCTGTGAGAGAAACAATGCACCTGTTTTCTTTGGTTTCATGTTTGATGGTTGGCTTCACCTCCCATCCTTAGCATTTCTGAGAACAAACAGAAACCTAAATGCAGCAGTTTGGTTTTGCTTAGCCAAGCATCTCTTACTACACCTGGCAGGGTGTGAAATCGTGCAGCAAGGTTCTAGATGTTAACTCTCTATCTGACTTTGGAGAGCAAGTCTGTGACAGCTCTGCAGCTCATGTGTTTACAGTTTCCTGTGGAACATACCAGCACAGCCGGCAGCTGTTGCCATTCAGCTCTGGCCAGTGACAATTTCAACAGTTTACAGGACATTTTAGGAAAAATTTAAAAACAAAGAGCTCAATGTCAAGAAAGAGATTGTATCAAGTCTCACTTAGATGCCATATCTGTTTTGGGGTTAAAAATATCCTGAATTACCAATCTAGAGTGCAAAACTGTCAGACTATATTGTGAGAGAGACAGAAAATTCCCATTGTCTGTGAGAACCTCTGGCTTTTATTATTACAATTGAATAGCATTTCTGCATCATAAACAATGTTATTAATAATTGCTCATCATCCAGGACTGCAGTAAACGAGTTGCTCTGGGGGACACAGAGTCATCGTACACCACAGTATAATTGATAGTAAAGACGTGTTGCCTTCAGGGAAGATGCATTCCTTTTATACACTGATGTTTTGCTTCTGAAATCTCCTTTAAAAAAGAGATTTCTGCTTATTTACTGATGTTTTAATGAATATCTGGTGTGTCAGTCCAGTTTTCCTGGCTTCTTTTGGCATCAGCCACAGTTCAGTTGCTTCTGTGTGAACTGTGACCTTGATGCAGGCAGCAGAGTGAATTAACTGCTCTCTGATGTTTTGCCTGGTTTAATAAAACAATCTGCATTTGGGCAATAATCTGCATAATAGTAAATGCTTTTAATGAATGTCTGTGTTGTAGAATATCATTAACATAACATTTTTCCTGGAAGACTGACACGATGCTTGTCCTAGAAAACCTCATGTGCCCTCAGCATTTATCCATGTAGATGCCATATTCCAGCTGTGTCTGTCTGGCATGTGAAAGCTTGGACATTTTTCACCCAGTGGTATTTGTTGGAGCTTTCCCTAATGGGCAGAACGGAACAGACCAGCAGCTCTTCTCGCCACCCCCGTCCCTTCCATCAGTAGCTCAGCTGGAAAATTCCTTTTCTGTTGTTAGCAGAGCACTCATGACACCAGAAAAGTGAACAGAGAACTCGGAAAAGAGTTCCAGGTTATATATTAGCAATTTTTCTGAAGCATGTTCTAACAGTCTGGCTTCAGTCAGTGCTTCAATAGCAATGACATGTTTTTATTCTAGAAGATGTTATTCTGCAATAGACAGCACAATTCTTTTCCCCTCTGTCCAGTGTGGAGCAAAACAGAGGGGAAGGAGTTCCTCTAGTGATATTCTGTCTAACATTTCCTAATTCTATCTAATATTTCCTTTGCTGCACATACATGTAGGATTCTTCATGGAATTTTTCCATTCTGTCTGGAGGCTGGCAAAGCCAGAATCTCAGGCACACATACACACATATGTTATGTATGTGTATTTATGTGTATGTACATATAAGTACATATATGTATCTTGCCACCTGCATTGTGGTGGAAATGTGCAGCAATATTCAAATGAAAAGTGTTGCATTTGTGTGCATTAGGTGTATATGACTGCAGAAGCATCAAAAAAACCTCAGGTTTTTTTTGGCAGGATTCTGAAATCCCAGTTGTTGATGGACAGTGCTCTCAGGTGCTCCTGTTTATACAGCTCTGGAAATTTGCATCTTGCCTCAAGATAAATGGTTCTGACATCACTTTAATGTGAATATTACGCTGCCTAATATGGGATTCCCATCCTGGTTTAAAATACAGCTGCAAAGCACAGAGAGCTCCTTTTGTTGCAGTAACAGTCTGTCAGAATTTATTGAACTGGTTCTGTAGGTTTTAAATTCTGAGAGTGGGGGGATACACCTGTAATATTTGATTTGTCTGTTTGTTCTATGCTTAGCTGAACTTGATGCTGAACATGCACAGAAGGTTTTGGACATGGAACACACCCAGCAGATGAAGCTGAAGGAGCGCCAGAAGTTCTTTGAAGAAGCCTTCCAGCAGGACATGGAGCAATACCTTTCCACAGGATACTTGCAGATAGCAGAGAGGAGAGGCAAGTTGTAAAAGCCTTTTGCACAAACTCCCAGCTTGGAGAGCATTGTTGAGCAGGCAAGAGCCAGCAGTGCTTACAGAGGAAGCACAGAAAAAAGGCCAAATTCTTCCTCAGTAGAACTGGAACTTCAGATAGGCCTTTTGAACAAACTTGGTGTCCCAGGGGTACTGGATACCTTAGAAGATTAGTCAGGCTCTGCTCCATGTCTGAGGAGATGCACTGAACTGCATCTGGAACAGCGTTTTTCTCTGCAGCTGAAGAGTGCATCTATGTAAAAATATGGATGGAGGCAGCTGCTTTGTCCGCTGGAGTTCCAAAGCCTGGGGTTGTCATTTGGCCAAGGAGATGCCTCAGAAAATTTTGCAAAGTGCACAGGAAAGTTCAGTGTAGCATTTCCAAGCAGTTCCCAGGTGGCAGCTATTCCCACTGGGTGTGATTAGGACACAGGAGGTCACAATAGATGCTCTCCTTATTATGAAATGACACAAATGTGGCATCTCTGGACTGGTTAAAGCACAAGAATGCCAGAGATTACAGGGAATTCTGTGTGGGAGGTTTCCATCTGTTCGGCCAAAATGCAGGGATTGTTGGACTGGTAAGGAAGCCAGTGGGAAATTAGGTATTTGTATTAGGCAGGAAAAATGTAGATATTCTGTCCCTGCTCCAAATGCAGTTCTGCTATCATTTGTAATGTCAGAGTGAGGAATAGAATCCAAGGTTTCTATTTCTCTTCATGAGTGCTATAAATATAAAATCATCTTCAAGATGCTCTGCATGGGTGGCTAAGGAGAGGTGGGATATGTAAATCTAAATTCATGGTTAGGAGAGGAACTGAGTTTGAGTCCCCTGCTTTCAGTAATGGGTTGCCTTTTAGACTAAAAGTAGACATTGTCATGGGCTGGTACTGGACACACAGCTCTGTTAGAGTGTTAGGCTGCCTAACATTTGGAACTTCAGCTTTTTATGATAATGTGGAGCCTGGGTGTATCAAAGAAACTGCTTTAATGAAAGACTTGGACCTGCAGTACATGTAAAATTGCAGAGCTGTAGCATATTTGAAAAAAAAAAGATAATCCCCCAATCAAACTACAGAATTTATTCTCAGTTCACCTATGAAGGTTTCAATAATGTAATTGTTACATTTAGATAAACAAGTAAACTGTTCATTTAAATAATTTTATACAATGCAGCAGGTGGACTTAAATCTGAATGACCCTGAACTTACTTGTTTCCTCTTTGCATGTTTTGCTGTTTAAGGAAGAAGATGCTCATCCAAGTATTTACTTCCCTTACAAATTGTCAGTACTGTATTGACAGTAATAAGTAATTTGCTTGAGTAATTAGTAATGTGAAATACCCATGAGAGAAGATACTGGGCATGAGCCTGGGTTTTACAGGCTACTGTAATTTCTTAAGATTATCTGAGAGAACAGCTACTCTCTGTTAACATTAATCCTGGTTTCTGAATTTCTATGTCCCTTGTATGTTGACATTTAGTGACTGTGTCCTTAAATGTGTTTGCTTTTCTCTAAAAAGACTTCTGGTTGAGAAAATTGAAAAGGAGTGTTCCAAAATGGAAAGTTTCAATCCTTGTGCCTGAGTCCCATCTCAGCTTATTTCTGAGAAGGTTATTGCTATAAATACTGCTGCTAAAAATGTTTTGGTTTACAGAAGCAGTAATGGATGTTAGTTTCACAACAAAGATTGCACACAGTGCTCTTGGATTTGGGCTGAGGTTGCTGCTGAGCAGCTCCTGTGGGTGGGCTCCTTCCATTCCTAAGTTTAATTATTGCTGCTGCAGACAGTTGGATCCTTGGCAGGTAATAACCTCGTGTAGCTGATGGTCAGTTTGCTCATTGTGCTGTTTCTCCTGCAGAACCCATTGGCAGTATGTCTTCCATGGAGGTGAATGTGGACATGCTGGAGCAGATGGATCTGATGGACATGTCTGACCAGGAAGCACTCGATGTCTTTTTAAACTCAGGAAGCGAAGACAATAATGTGCTGTCTCCCATGCTGGGTATGGTACCTGTAGTGACAGCCTGCTTAGAGACAGTGATAAACCACCAGAACTGCTCCCTTTTGTAATGGGTGATGTTATCTCATCAAACATCACACTTGATGCAGATTGACTGTTCTTCATTCGTGCTTCTCCAAACATTAACATTTAGTTGCTGTACAAGAGAGTTGCTGCAAAACTGTGTGGTATTTCCAGACAATCTCATTTTTCTTACTGCAACTCCCTGTTGTATTCATCACAGTCTGGATAGGTGATGTGTTACATACTGGTTTGAGGGGCATTTTTCCCAATATAGAGTTAATAGAGGACATTTTGACAAACATCAACAGAAAGCTTGCAGTAATTAGGCTTTTATTTTTAATACTGATTTCTTAGAGTTTGTCCAGAATGTTGCTTGTCAAACTTGGACCAGTCGTGTAATGAAAGATCTTCTACACTGAGAATTAGTGTCTCAAAACTGGATCTTTTACCTACCATGGAAGTGTTTTCCTGGTTAAAAAGTTAAGTGCTAAAATGCCTTTCCTCAAAAGAGCCAAAATGATTTTTCTTGTGGGAGAGGAGATGAAGCTCCTTTAAAGGTCCTTTTGGTACCTTCTGAAAGTACAGGTTGAAATATCTTTATGGAAGTACTTACAGTACTCCTCTGTAAAGGTGATTAACACGTGCTGTGAACATGAAAAGCTTGTGGTAAATGGTCAAGGCACACTTGCCTGCTAAAGGTTTAGGTTTTTGTGCTTCATTGCAAAATCTGAATTGAGATGGGTGGTTTTGGATAGGCATCCGCTTCATGCATTATTAAAGCTGATCATCATTTGAGCTTGCCAGTAATTGCAGAATCTAGGACTGTTTTCCCCTTGTTGGCTGTTTGGCAGATGTGACCAAGAAGCTTCGTGTCTTAACAGCAAACGGTCTCAGCTGGATTATCTAAGGAAGGGCAGAAACTACTTTTTTAACTAAGGAGATAAATGCATTAGCTTTTGAAAAAAAATACAGTCTTTATTTTATGCTGTAATCTAAATATTACAGCATATATGTGCAGTGTCTGTATGTGGACATAACAGTGCAATATAATGTACCTGTGCTGTAATAATGTTCCAACACTGCAGCCTTACTGCAAGTCTCGTGAATCTTGCTCTTGTGGTTCCAGACATTTTATTTCCCTCTGATTAAGGGATTTTTGTGCGTGTTTTAAGAACCTAGCACCCCAGTAATAAGCCAAATATGCAATAGGCTTCATTCTCAGAAAAATGAGATTGGCTTAAAGGTAACTCTTTATTTTGCTGTCAGTGGAGAACTGGGTTGTCAGGGCAAGGTTTGTTTGACAATTGGCCCGAACACCACAAAATACAGGTAAGTTATTAAAATAACTGGTAAAAATGAGAATCAGCTCAAGACATTGAAATGTTTTCAAATTTGCCTTGCTATAAACATTGCCAGCTTATGGACATTGGCTTTGCAACCTTTCATGACAGTAAGTTAAGCTGGAAAATTGAGTTAGCTCTGTCACTCCTGAAAACTCCTCTGTGTGTTGTCTTAATTGATCTAATGCATGCTGGTGCACACAAGGCAGGTTCTCTAAAATTTTTAGTGTTAAAATATAACTCAGGTACTTGATGAGCAGGTAGAGACAGTGTGGTTTGAACTGCTGTGCAAAAGTCTGAGCAGAAGTAAGGTGTAGCTCATATCCATCTGACCCTTCTGAAAAACTTCTGAATAAAATTTTTAAGAGAATTTTCTCACTAAAGTTACTCTTTAGTAACTTTAGAGAGAGCTGAAGCTGGGTGCTCTGACTGTGGAGAAACACTTGTTAGGTATAGGAGAGAAGGAAAAAAGGGCTTTCTTTGGCAGATCACATAGAAACTATTTAGATGTTTCCTCATTTTAACTTTTTTGCTGTCTGGGGAAGGGGATCTAATTTTGAAACCTGAACTCTCAAACTGCAAGCAAACACTGTTGCTCTGTGTTACAAGACTTTTTTGCACGGGATATGGAGGAAGCGGAGTCTTAAAATCCCACTCCTGTGCACTTGAGCTGTGGTATAGCTCTACCAGAGGATTGCTTTCATGCTGAATTAAATTTGATTTGCTTTGCCATCTTGATTTTTAGTCAAAACTGGTGATGGCTATTATTGCCTGCTTCCTAGTTGTTTGTTTGGTTTTAAATTTCCAGTTTGTGTAGTTCTGTTACACTGAGTCTATTGGGGTTTTTTTTCCTCTTGATGTCTTGCAAAAGAATGAAAACAGCCTGAAAGTGATTCCTTAAGCAACGCTGAGCTGATGTTCATGTGTTGATTTCTCAAATCCCCTTGCTGAGCCAGAGCTCGACTGTTGCTGTTGTCGTTTTCCCACCTCTCAGGGCCCGACTCCAACAGCTACGTGAGCGAGATCAGTCTCCAGGTGCCGAGCCAGTCGGAGTTACGGCAGAAGCTCTGCTCCCTGTCCTCCACCTGCACCGACTCAGCCAGCCAGGACGCGAGCGAGGGAGAGTCCCCCGTGGTCCAGTCGGACGAAGAGGAGGTTCAAGTGGACACTGCCCTTGCTGCTGTAACTGAGAGAAAGGGTGCTTCAGATGGCAGTGATGAAAGTGACTCTCAGACTATTTGAATCTTAAAACCATATCCTTTAAGAATGACTTCTGAATGAATGAACAAGTGAATGAAGAGCTTGCCTGTGTAACAATTTGCTAACCAAGCGTAACAGCCAGATCTTTTTACTTAGTCATACTGCCTTTTTACAAAATTGCCAGTCATGTGGAGGTTGGTTTTTAAAGAAAAAATTATGCCTAAAGCACACACACTTTAACAGTAGTCTTGGGGCTCAGGGGAGCAGTAAAACTGTTGTATATACTATGTATAAGAGAATTTAAGGGGAAAGGTAGAAGTTACTTTGACCACTAACCTTTAAATGGCTGATTGGAAGTGCTTAAGAGTTGATGTGTAAAACTGAACCCAAATTGTTCCTTGCATGTTTTCAGCTGCTGCAACTGAAGATTTAGGATCCAAACCAAAATGAAAAGTTATTTTCTACTCTTTACTACCTACTGTCTGCCTCCTGCCTTTGTCTACGAATGCAGCAGTGTCTACTGTTCTCACACTTCTTATTCAGGACCAACTTAGTTATAGGTGTTAAGGAAAAAATAAGAACCCGAGAAGGAAGAGAGATGCATATGGAAATGTTGCACTCCTTGTGGAGCAGGTATCTTAGCATTGTGTACTTACTCCTCTTTCAAGATAAAATAAAGAATTTCTATCCCAACCATGTCTTTTACTTGATTACACAGGTATTTTATCCATGACAAGTGAACAGAGGAGCCTAAGTCAGGAAGAAGAGTGGTTATGAGGCGCACCAATGTAATGCGCTTTTCCATGGCAACATCTGTTTGACTACACTAGGGAGATAAACCTGAGTTAATTGTTAATTAAGTGCGTGGATTTTAGAAACCTCAGGACCTATAGGCATCATCTCATTCCCATTTTTTCTGCAGTTGTTTTTCTCTCTGAACTTGAGGTCTGACCATGTCTAACTCCTGTTGCTTGTCAAGTCTCATGCTCTATTTTCAGGGATCTGCTCTCCTTTGAGAAGGCTCCTGGCTCCTGCTCTTCCTGCACAGAGGGAAGGAATATAATCAGAAACAGTGTAAGTAAAAGGATGAGCTGTGATGTAGATCCCTTCCAAAGACCTGCCCTGACAAAGCCAGTGGCTGGGAAGGGGGGGTATCTCCTTCCTGCTTGCCAGCTGGGCAGTGGCCAGTTTCCTTAAGGATTCTCCTGTTAGCTGACAAAGTGTTTCCTGATCCCTGCCTGGGAAATGAAGGTTGGAAGCTCCCTACCTACAATTAAGAGATTTACTATTCAACAAGGCAGCTGTTGAAAGAAATTTATCTTGAAGGAGCTTCCTTTACTCCCTCGCTTTCCAGAAGACAGACAAAATGTCCAAAAAAGTTTTGTTTTTTTTATTAAACCTCGTAGTACAAACCTGGAAAGTAAACAAAAAACTGGCAATAAACAACATGAAGTCTTTCCTTACAAGGAAAGAGAGCAGAGCAGCGCTAATAAATTAAATGTCAAACTGTAAGCCATAGTCAGAAGTTTACTGTCAAGAGGGAAAAGTACACAGCAAGGCCATAAAAACCAGACAACCACATTTGAAAACACTTGACTCTGTTTATGTTATTGTTAAATATTCCAAAACAGTTCAGTCTTCTGCAACAACAATCAACAAATTGTATTATAGGACTTTCCTGACAGTCACCACTGGCAAGCTCAGTGCAATATGGGTAGCTACGGTATTGTTGAATTCAATTACGAAACAAAACAGTTTGTGAAAACATTTTCCCTTTTTTATTCCACACATACTGTACACACAACCAGAAAAGGGCAACAGCTACTCCATTATTATTTTTTGTTGTTGTTCAGTGATGTAAGCAGCACTTATAAATGTTACAAGAAAAACCCTGTAAGCATCCAATCCAACCGATGAAGAAAGTGAAACGTAAGGCTTTTCTTCATCTTGTCTCTCTGCCATCCCTCCCCCCACCCCAAGAAAAGGCTCAAGTATTTAAAAAAATTTACAGGCATATGTACAAAAGGTGTGATTTTTTTTTTTTTGTTACAACATGAAGAGAAAAAATAGACAAGATGAAAGCAAATGCATTTTCACATTCAAAAGAAATATGCAGACTTGCTAGTGGCTCTAAATGTGATCATATAATGAAACAAATTCAAAACAAAATTAATGCTTGACTGTGTAAAGGTGTGAAAAACAGCAGTGGAATGGAAATGGAATGTTAGAAAGATTGCACGTCTATGACAAAAGAAGCACTTATGGCTTCAATCACTTTTTTCTTTTTTTATCTTTTTTTTTTTAAAGGATGCTATTGAAGGGTTTTTGATAAAGTAGCCAACAGCACCAAAAAATAACAGAATGGATTTCCTAATGAAATCAGGCACAGTTTTCCCTCACATAACTCCTCAAGGCAGGCAGTCTTTTTTCCTCCTTTTTTAATTTTTTTTTCATTTTAATTTTTTTTTTATTTTTTTTATTTTTATTTTTCCCCCTCAAAACAGATGCATAGTGATGTGCTGGTAAAAGAGAACATACTCCAAATCTCCTCCTTTTGCCTACAGTTAGGAAACAAAGTCCATCTTCAGCTGCCATAACCTCCCAAAGAAAGTGTGTATTCTCCAATTTAAAAAATTACAAAACTCATCTTGCTGTGACAGAATAAAAGACAGCCAAAGTAAAGCAATTTCTTTCAAGTTTTTGTCTCCTATCCCTTTTCTCTCTAGAAAAATCTGCTCACATGACCGGAGAACAAATTATAAAACACATCAAACTTCAACCTATTCAAAAAATGGGTTAAAAGCCTTTTTTCACAGTTACCAAAAAGGCTTTTTATTTTTTTCAGCCATAGGGACAATACAAATTCATATTTTATCAGCCCCTTGCCGGTTTTAAAACAGTGAACATACGGCAGTTTAAAAAAATCAGACTGCTGTATCTATCTATTCTAAGTACAAAAAAAAAAAATTTCAACAGTTTAATGCTAAAACAAAATTAGTTCTCTAAAACCAGAAGAAAATCTTCTTTAGAGCTAGTGCAAAGACAGCTTGTATTCTACAGCAAGTACTCCAAACTATGGTATAATAATTACAAAAAATATATATAAATTGACAAAATGAGAGTGTTGGCATCTTCAGGATTAACTTGAAGCACTTTTGGATGAACTGGAGGATGAAAGCCTAGATGATGGCACGTCCACTGTTGCTCTCTTACGAGGTCCTCTTTTTGGTGTAGGCTTGCTGATACAGTTCTCAATGCTGCCATTTTTACCAGATACTTTTCCACAGATTTGATTGACAAGACTGATAATTTGTTCCTGTTCAGGAAGTGGGAAAAACAAAACACAAATTAGTATCTGCTTTTCCTCCAGAGTCACTTAAACAGGAGTGCAATGGAGTGCTCAGAAATGCTGGGAAGCCCATCTTAAAAAGCTGCTTGTACCCAGTGCTGCTCTCCAAGAGCTGACCTGTCATTTCTCCCACTGCTCTGCTCTTTACCTTTGGGGCCAAGTCCCCTCACAGCTAAAGACATGGAGCCTCAGCCCAGAACCCAGGCACAGTCCTAAATCCCCATCTTGACTTCTGGGATCATTCATCATCACATTTGCTTGGAGCCATTACTGCACCTCTCATCTGCACGTGCTCTGCAAGTCTGCCCTAAAGGACGACCATGCTGGACTGGAAAAAAGTCCACTGAACTTCCAGTTACCAACAGAGGGAAGGTATTCCCAAGTACAGAAGTTACCACAGCATAACCAGTGAAAGCAAAGCCTCATGTTCCATCCCAAAGCATCAAGCGGCTTCTTATGTTCTGTGGCAAATATTCATGGAATTTATACTTCAGGTTTCATCTGTATCATCATGTTCCCTTTTTGTTTTTTTTTTACTAAATCATAATAAAGCATCTTCTTCCCACATCAAAAACAAAACCAAGACAAACACCCAAACCCAAGACCATTTTCCTGAGGCCTCAGCAGGACAAAGGCAGAGTGAAGTGTCCTCCCAAATGTTGGGCACCCAGGGCAGTGTCAGCTCACCTCATCGTAGCGGTACATCATCTTCAGCCCCCGGCACGACTTCTGCTTCTCCACGTGCCGCAGGGCACACTCCAAGCAGAAGACAACATTTTCATTCTCCTGTACAACCTACATGAAAGAGGTGGGGGAGAAGAAGTGCAGTTAAACTCCAAGCTGTACCTGTGTTCTCCACACAGTATTCAGTTATGGCCTGAATTACTACACCTGGATTTTACTGCAAGGTTGTGGAAGGAGGTGTAAAGCACATCGTGAAATCATTCAGGATGTGCAACACCGAGAAAGAACCTATCTCTTTTACAGAGATAGGTTGGCAAATACATCTATAATTTTAAAAAACCCTCCACCAATATTAATGAGGGCTAAATCCAAACAGCATATGCATTTATTAGCATCTCCTATGCAGTCCTAAAGATCTCCTGAAAGGAGCAGTTTCCCATTATTTAAAATGCTGCCTTGAACAAGGATATAATCAGCTTAGCCACAGGATTCCTCAACTACTGTCTTGTTCAGCAATGGTGACATTTGCTCAGCTGGCTGCCTGCCAGGCCTGCACATTCAGCTTGGAATTTAACAAACCAAGTTGGGAGTTTTTTATCCACAACTACTGTTAAAGAGTGACATGGAAAAATCCTTCCCATTATTAAACTTACTCCAGAGCAAATGCACCAGAAGATCCATTAAGAGGTTCTGGTTAGTATTTTGGGTTTTTTTCAAATAAACTCATTCTAAAGTTACTTCAAACTAATGCTGCTTAAAAAGTGGTCTAAAAACATGTATAAACTCAGCATATTTTATCCTAGGGCAGGGAACAGCTACATCTGATTATATGCAGATACATTTCATTTCCATTAAAAACCAAACACCTATAACCAAAACAATTCCCAAAAGATGACAGAGAAAAAACCTCCCAAACCCAAAGGACTAAATATGGACTCACATACTCTGCATTATATTTATTTGAATACCTGTTCTTAGGATTAAAATTGTATATAATGCTGTGGGAGGGGCTTCTGGTGTTTTTAATAACATTGCTGTGTTTGTAGGTGTTCTGCATACAGCTCTAAGCCTGGAAATGTCACCACAGTGGTCAGCACACCTTCAAAAGCCAGTAGTCATTTCCCTCTTAAAAGAGAGAAGTTTATTTTTGGGCTGGTTTTGGACAGGCTGGCAAACAGCTTGATGGATGGGATACATCTCCCCTGCAATTTGGCTTGCAGAACATTGTCTCAGCATGGGCTGTGGGCTGCATGCCTGAGGCTCATGGCATGTATCTGAGCTGTAGCTCATCCTGAGACCTGCTCTGTTACAACTTACTGCTGCTGGCAATCTGCAGGTGTCTTTGTTAGCCCTCCTAGTGCAGTGCCAAGATCTCTTAGGTGTCTGAGGACACTGCTTCATCCCTTCTGGCAGGGTGAGAAGCCAGCTGTCACTGCTGTCTTCTGTCACCACTGGTCAAGGCAGTAAATGCCACATCATCACCTCTGTGTCTTGCATGGAGTGCAGGACATGGCTCTCTCTCGAATGCCTACAGATCCCTGGAATGCTAGAGCAGGGGGACAGTACCCCAGGAGTGGCAAAGGATTGTACCCACCATGGAAAGATAGCACAGGTGCTGACAAATCTGACACCTCCTCTCTGACGTTTCCAACTGCAGCCA